TGACACTTAACAATACTACAGAATCAAACAAATGGGCAATCTAAAGACAAAAGAAAAGTATAACCTATGGGTATTCATTTCCTGACCAACGTGGCATATTTCCTATGTGATTCTCTCCTCCCTTTCCCCTCTTCCCCCAGCCTCTCCCCGACACCCCTTCACTCTAGTTGAATGAAAAGTTTAAATTCACTGTGTTTATCTTACATACTACTCATATTCAGGACTTTTTGTTATTTTATGGTTTTCCTTTAACACTCCAGACTCCACAACTTCTATTGCTTTAAGAGGTGCAAAGCCCTTAAGGTGTGCCTTTTCTTCAGAGATGAAAACAGGCTTCTTTTCTTTAATGGGATGGTCCAACAATGCACATCTACAGAAACATGTCCAAACTTGAGGCCAGCCCTTTAGCCAGTATAGCACTAACCAAGAAGAATCGTAGCAATTCAGAAGATGCAGTCATAGGAATGATTCCTTCAACCAGTAGTGTCTGCAAGATCAGAATCTTACTAATTCCAAACCCCCACAATTACATTTATCAGCTTATAATTACCATACAAGAGCTGTCAGAGTGGGATTGCTGCATTTGTCCTCCCTGTCAGTACCACAGCTGGGGTGTGAGCAAACTCATGCCTTCACACTGCAGCAATACAACTTGTCTCTTGTTTTGGGCTGTATCTTATGTGTCAAATCTGGGGTGAGAGAGAATGCACTGCACTGTTCTACTGCCAGAAGCACAAAGCAGAATCACACATTAAAAAGTACCCAGTCTGGAGGGATATTCCTTGACCAGCAATCAAATGCAGTGGCAGCATCCACTCCTGGGATGCCAAAGGGTACCTTTCACATCACTCATGTGCATAAACTGTGTAACTTTGAGCTCCAGATGCTGCATACAAATGATATTACTGGGCACATGAAGTCTCCTGTGCCAACAGGTTGAAAATATTGTCCATGATAAGTGTCTTCATCAGTTATGCAATTTTATCACACTAAAATTGCAGGTAAAATTATCTTCTTCTCCTACTGTGCATTTTTATGCTGTAGTATACTTTATTCCATAATGAATACATTATGGAAGATATTTTCAGCCATTAATCTAATCCCTTGGAACCTTGCTGAATGCCAGTGGACTTGCCCGCAAACTAACCTCTGAGCAAAAAATACATTTCCTTTCCAGAAAGCAGCCTCCTAGAAGCTTGTTCCCATCTATAAGAAACATTTATGGAAGAAGGAGAGACAATTTTCAGGACCAGCTTCCAGACCACTCATGAATCTACTCATCTTAGGAACCACTCAGGAATCTACTTAGAAACCACAATGATGTTGCTGAGTAACTGAAGTTAGTCACTAAATATAACTAACTAAGTGTAACTAAAGCAGTTATATTATTTTACCAGGAATAGATTAGGCAATTTTCTTGTGTTTACTTCAGCCATTTCTGGAATTCATTTTTCCTTCAAAATCTGTGAAAAGGAGACATCTTTACATAACAGACGGCAGTATTTTTCCTAATGTCTTGTTTTCTGTTAATACAGTTTATAATTAGAAATGGATATTTTCCCCTTATTTTCTTTTGTAACAGACACTGCTCATGGTTGTGCCAACAGATTAATGTGGAGAGTACAGAATGAATATTATAAAAGTGTCATTTAGGTAAAGCCAAGAAGCAAAGTGGCTCAAGAGTTGTGCAAACAGCCATTTTGACTACAGATTTATAATCCATAGGCAGCAGCTCCTACACTGCAGCCTTTCTATCTCTTGAACAGTGTGTAGGTTGTATCAGCACTTTAAAGAAATTTTGCATATTGAGTGCAACAACAGATTGGTAACAGTTCTTATCACTGTGGCACCTACACAAAATTTAGATATAAACTTAGAGAAGTGGAAAGGGGATCAAGGAAAATATCAGAAACTACATTAATGGCTGTTCTCTAGTGCTAGTACAGCAGAGTACATGTCCCAAAAATGTTGCATGTTCCACTTGAATATGAGGAAAAAGTTCTTTACTGTGAGGGTGGTTGTGGAATCTCCTTCAATAGATATTCAAGAAATATCCTGTGCAATGTGCTCTAGGTTTACCCTGCTTGACCAGGGAAGTTGGATCAGACACTGTGTTGAACTTCACCCATTCTGTGAAAATCAGAGCACTATGAAAATCACCACCTGCCATGCTGCATAGAGAATGACACAGACTTTATTTGGACACCCAGATGTTCCATTACTCTGCCTAAGAAATTCTCTACACCCTTCTCCTCTTCAGGACATGCTTGTAACGCAATAAAAATTCAGGAAAACTACACACCAAAACATGTATCACATTTTATGTTGTTTAAAAAAAAGCAACGTAGATTTTTAATTTAATGAAACTGCCAGGCTATTTACTCTTCCAAAACTGTAGATCAGAGAAGCAAAGTTTGTCATAAGACAGTAGACTTCTCCAGAGACAAATGGTCTAAATTCAGTGTGAGAAGAAATAGGAGTGTAAATAAAGCTCTGGGAGGTACCTCAAACTGGGATTCTGAGCAGAAGTCCAAGTCTTGCTGAGGAAAGAGGAAAAAAGAAGCAGTTCCTTTAAAGTCTTCCTGAATTTTCTAATCTAGGGAAAATTCATTGCCAGCATTTCCACCAGTTTTAGCAACATTGGAAACCTTAATGAAAACAAAATTGTAGCAGGGGCAGTTGGTTTTAGTAATGTGTCAATTACATTTGCTCAGGCCAATGGTATTATAAGACTGGCAGCCACACAAGTACTGGAGCAGCTGGGATGGAGCAAACTTAGGAAGCCTCTGAAAGCAGCAGAGACCAAATTTCTCCTGTTGCACCCGTAAGTCTTTTACAGTAGTAGTTACTGGTTTTAGGCATGCATGGGAATCTGCTGTATTATTTTCTTGAGAAACTGGCACATATTCTATCATTTTTCATGCTTAGTGTTATTACAGCATCTGAGGAATGAACCAGAAAAGATTTGAGTTTTAGAGTCTGTTCTGCATATAGAAAGCATCTAGAGGTAAAACCATAACCCAGCAGTGCTGTGGTAATTGTAGCATCTGCTGTATCAAATTAAAAAATGCAGTGACTGGTTTTCATGAAGAAGAAAAATGATACTCCATCTCCTCTTTGAAAGAGTCAAAAGGCTTTTTTAATGCTGTTTTTGAATATGGAGCAAGAGATACTAAAAATAATTCATCAGATTTATTTAAATTATGCAGTGTAATACATAAAACATGAAGATTACAACATCAAGCAATATAGCTGGAACAAATTAAAACTGCTTGTGCATATACATTATAATTCCTTCTTTAATTACTCATCCCTAACCTCTTTCAGTGGATGCAGAATGAACATGTGGAATTAAGCACAGATACGTAATAGTGCCTGCTCTCTATTCATTGCCAACTCATTGCTTCTCTCTGCTTACATTAATTTCCTTTAAGAGATCTCCTATGAGCTGCATGGTTGCTTTTACTTCTGAAGCACTAAGATTAAAGAAAAAATATTAAACAATGTCAAATAGGACTTGATTTCTTGACGCTGCACATAATGAAATATGTAGAATATATAGTGTATTGCCTGTTGACTTAATTTTCATGAGTAGGCTACCCTAAATGAAACCCCAGCATCTTAAGATTGGCATTGTGAAAACACATCCCTCAACCTCTTCATAAAAAATCACATTAAAGCTATGTGTTACATGGCATCACACAGAGATTTTTGAGAAAGAAAATTTGGTGTCTTACAATTTTTTTCAGAATTCTGTAAAGAACAGTCAGCAACCTCAGTCACGATCTTGTTCCCTGCCTTCTAATTTTCCTAGAAATTACACAGGGATTACATATAAAATGCCTCATTTTACTACACAGCTCTGCTCCAAAGTAGAAAAATCTGTTCTGTGTACTACAGAAAAAGGCACGGCCTGGTACGCGTGAAGGCTAGGCAAGAAATTTGTAGTTAACTTTAGGTTATAATGCACAAAAGAGATGAACTTGTACAGACAACATATATTATGTGCTGGATTTTGCAAAATCAGTATGACTGCACACAATGTAAATAATTTTCTGTTTCCATAGCACTCCCGGGGCCTGCAGCCTGTGCAGCACAGCGGTTGCCATGAGTTTTTCATATCCAGGCCTTTTAGCAGTCAGAATCCACACACACATTCAAACACCTCAGGCAAGTGAAAGTCAACCCCCATTAGCAAATGCAGCTTGTAAGAAGGCCTCTCACTTAACCTCCAGCTCAACACAAGGCCGGCTGCGTGGTCAGTCCAGGTTGCTCAGGACTGCATCTGCTTGGGAGTGGAAATCCCTGAGGAACCCACTCCCACGGCCCAGCTGTCTGCAGTATGAGGAACTTTTTCCTTACACCCTGCTTGACGCTCTCCCGTCACCTCACTCCCTTTGTCCCTCAGCAGGACACCGAAGCCCCTGGCTGCCTCTTCTCGACCAGGTCCCCACCAGTGCTGATCCTATCCGCAGGCCGCGGCAGTCCCGACCCTCCACTTCTCCGGCCCCGCCACCGCGGGGATCCCGCCGGGCTCCCGGTGGCGTGTCCCCCCACCGCGTGCGGGGGCCCGGCTGGAGGCGGCACCTGTCGAGGGCTGCGGAGAGCCGGGAGGTGTCACCGCCTCCCCTCCGCGCCCGCGCAGCCCGCGGTGCCGCAGGAGCTCTTTCCATTTGGAGACACCGCGGGACAGCGGCACCGCGCCGCGCGCACGGCCGGCGCCCTGCCCGGACTCGCCCGGGGCCATGTCTCGCCAGCGGCGCTGCCGGACCGTATCTCTCCGGTGCGATGCCCACGCTGCGGCAAGGCTAGCGAAGTCCGTCCCGGCCCTAGGTTAGAAGCGCACCCCCGATGGGCAGCGGCCGCTGAAAACGGCCCAGGAAGAGCGGGCGGGGGCGAAGCGCTGCCCGCGAAGATTGACGACTGCGCCAACCAATGGCGGCGCGGAAAGCGTGGGGGCGTGGCCAAAGCGGCCCGGCAGGGACGGGACGGGGGCGGGGCGCGGATTGGCCGGGGGGCGGGGCCGGCGGGGTTTTCTCCCGGGCTGGGCTGACGGCCGCGGCCGGGAACTTCGGGAGTGTGCAGGCGCCAGCGGCCGTTCGAGCGGCAGGTACCGGCGGGAGCGGTCCCGAGGGAGCGCGACTTACACCGGCAGTGGGGAGCGGGGGATGGCGGCGAGGAGGGGGTCGGGCAACCATAGCGCTGCGGGCGGTGCGCTGGGGGCCGCTTTGCCGCGTATCCGTCGCCGTTTTCAGTGGTCCGCTGCGCTTGCCGCGGGATGCGGAGGCTGCGGGCGGGGCCGGCCCGGCTGATCGGGTAGAGCTGCCCCCTCCCTTCTTCCTTCCCTCCTTCTGTGCCGGCCCCGAGCGGCGGCGGCGGGGCGGGCGGAGGGGGGCTGTCAGCGGCGCGGCCGGCAGGGGGCGGCAGCGGCCCCGAGGACGCGCGTCCGGGGGCGGCGGGGGCGAGCGGCTCCGAGCCGCAGCCCCTCCGCCCCGGGCGGGCAGCGGAGCGGCTGGCGGGGCTGGCTCCTCCCTCCCTCCCTGCTTTTCCCGCAGCCTTGGGCGCTGGTCCCGGCGAGGCGAACCGTGCGGGGCTGCTTCTCGCCGCTCGGTTCCAAGCCTCCCTCGCCGGGCTGCTGGTGCGAGCAGTGCCGCGCCCGCCGCCTCCGGCCGCGGCTCGGGGCACGCCGGCCGGCGCTGCGCGGGCTCCCGCGGTCGCTGCCGTGCCCGCATCTACCGCGCTCTTGGCTCGTCTGCCTCTAGTCTGGGGCCAGAAGAAAAGGGGTGTTTTTCCCCGAAAAAATCCATCCGGATGGCTGTTGGTGCTTTTCCCGCACCCGTCGCGTGAATGCTGTCTGAAGAGAAGCGGTTGGTTTCCTAATTGCCTTCCTCCCGGAGCACCACTCCTCTCCTCCTGATAACTTCATCTATTTGCATCTTGGGCTGTTCTTTTCTTTCGTCTGTAAGTTAGCAACTGCTGAAAAATGAGGTAAATAGGCCCCCGCACTGAGGCTGTTTGCCAAGAATCAGATAGGGGGTGAAATCGAGGAAGACTTTGCATCATTAATTTCTCTTCCCTTCAGGATTAGGGTAAAAATCAGTGTAGAATCCTCTTATATGGTTTGTGTCTCCTGTTTTAAAATAAGGCCCCCTTTCAAGATGTGATGACCTAGCCTCTGAGCATTACGCACTGAGATTTAAAAAAAAAAATATTATTTATAAATTTAGGTCCACAGTTCCTTTCCTATTATTGTTCTTTTGTAAGGCTTTGATTACAGTACTCTGAAGTCTGAATACACTCAAAAGCGCTATTAACACTGTGGTAACATTTCTTCAGTGTGCAGCATTCTTCCACAGGTAAAGATCCCACTGAGTTGAACTTAATCCCTTTTGATGTTAATAGTGTTGTCCACACATGTGTATGGCTGGAAGGATTGATGTGAAGGGAGTTGTTTTGAGGGTTTGTCAGCTTAATGATTATGATTTCCACCTTCCAAAAAAAATCACTGCCAGAGAGCAAGTAATAGCCAGCTAAAGTAAACTTAAGGTGCTTTGATACCAGTAATAACTGGCAAGCAGTTGATCTGGTGTGCTTTTGCTTCTTGTGAAGCTCCACAAGACCAGTTTTTAATTAAAATTATATATTCTATATTTGTTTCAAAGCACATGTATTCATTTTCTTAGCTTTATGGCCTTCTTTTCTGTCCGCTGTCATGGGCGCTTCCAGAGCGTTAGTGGAATGCAACAAGATGGTTCTACAGAACTTCGCCTTCAGCATATTCTCATCAGCTTGTGTGTATCCAGTCCTGCAGAGGTTGAAATGAGAAAATGCCTCTTTGAGAGACTGTCTAGAAGAAAAACTGTGTCCTTTAGCATCATGTTTTGAACAGCAGAAAAACTGAGTCCCTAAGCTACAGCGCCAACCAGTTACAGAACAGAAGCACTTTCGCGGCACTCTGGGTGACGCAGCAGTGGCCTTGGAAGGGCAATCCGCAGAAGCACTCTGCTTCAGCTGCTGCCCTCCTCCCTTACAAGTTTCCAGTTCTGCTGGCCATGCTGCTTTCTGTCTGCTGTTGACCTCTTGGTGGGAAGTTGAGCTGCTCTCTTTTGCCTAAGTTGCAACATTCTGCTGAGTTTCATTACCTTTGGGCTTAGAAAATGACCTTCCCTTCAGTGTTTTCTGAGGTTATTGGTCTCAAAAATTTCTATCAACGGTTTGTACCTGTGGCAGATGAGCTTGCATTATAAAAATATAATTTAAATGGTCTAGACAAGACTTCAAAAAATATGCACATTGGTTGATAGCGGAGAAGAGGGGGAGTTCAAACTTCTTAACATCCGGGGCTTTGTGGAATAAACTTCCAGGTTTTATTCCTGTGGAAATAGACCTTTTGTTCCACTTCTGCTTGGATAGTTTTCCAGTAATTGCAGTTAATTAATGAGGTTTTTTTAGATTCAAGGGCCAACACAGGTAACACTCTGAAGCTGGTTTGGCTTCCTGATGTCTTACTGGGGATTCAGTGACAGCACTGAAGAGCTCTCATTTAGAGAAGGTAACCTGAAGAATAACTGCATTGCTTCTAGTAGCCAATATGATCAGAATCAGTTTGTGACTGTGGATATAGGCAGAACATTCATTTTTCATGGGAGCAGCTCCCAAGTCATGCCTTTAAGGATGAAGAATGTGGGTCATAGGTGGAGAATGGGAAAGTGTTCTGGGAAGCGCAGTCATGTAAAGAAGGCATTGTGGGCTGTGATAAATAATTTGGACATATGTTCTCTTGAAGCTTATGTCAAAAAATCAAACTAGGTTTATAAGTAATGTTTAAAATAGCTGACAAAGTAAAAAAAATTCTGTCATTGGTGGTTGGTTGTGGGGTTCCTTTTTGAACTGGCATTTCCTTTTGGCATGAATCTGGGAAGCATGTTTTAGTGCAAAAGATTGATCTATTTTAGGATTAAAAAGGGAGGGAACAAAATAAAATGATGGTATACCTGTTACATGGATGACAGCTATGAAAGTATTCACTGACAGAAAAAGGATTTAAATGGTTTACATTTTTAATAGTTGTGTCTGTAATGTGTAGCTCTATTCTAATTTTTGAAAGAGGAAGTTTTCTACGTTTTAGTTTACTGTGTGTAAGTTTCAGTAGGTTAAAAGTTGTTTTACTAAAGATTGTAGTGTGTAACATATTTGCCACTAGATATTTCTAAAGCAAGGCTGAATGCTTTCTTGGGGTGGATGTACTAAGTCAAACTGTGGTTTCATTCTGGAATTGGTCTTAAGTAGGTGGGAGTGAGAAGAGGGAAGGTGGGTTGTCTTCCTCATTGCAAGCAAAATTAACCCAAGAAAAGCAGTGTTGGAAAACTGTTCATTGTGTACTCACACAATAACACAGAGCAAGAAAAGGGGATGTGGAAGCATCTGATTGTTGTAATCTGGGCTATACAAGAAGTCAAACTGCATTGTAAGGGGTTATTTCTGGCCTTCTGTTTTGAAAGCAGACTACTTTAAACTTTAAGGGTGCTAGACTTTAAAATAAACTGCCACACTTCTACTTTGTTAAGAGACAGAAATCAAAGTGCAAGTTAAATGATTGTGTGTGCAGTTTCTTTCTCTTCCTCTTTATCAGGGTGTTCACATTTTCAAAATGTTTATCATTTCAGCACTGTTCAATTTCACTTATCTGGTTTTCTGATTTATTTGGTGGGTAATTTTTAGGTTTAATGTGACTCTGAATTATTCCCTTATAGGCAAGCAAGATATTGTGCTGTTATCCAGTTGTCATAGTTGATTTCACTCTACAAATCTTCAAGATTCCTACTGGAGTGAAAGGTAAGTTGTGGTTTATTTTTTTTTAGATCCGAAGATTCATTGTATGAATTTACTAAATAGGCAACCTTTTGTGTTCTGTTTCAACTTCTCATTTATGTTAGCTATTGATGTGATAAATTTACATGGCTTGAGTTGTCAGTTTCGTGGTATTATATAGAAAAGAACTTCTAGATGATACAGCAAATATTTTGACTTCTACTTAAGAACTTTGTGGTGTGCACTCTTCTGTGAAGGTAATTTTACTGATAACTTATTTTCTCCATAGACTTCACCTTGTCTTTGAGAACTTTGTAAAGATTTACAGACTAACTGAAGGTCATATCGGCAGAATATTGATTAATTACTATTGGATAATCCAGAAAGAACTGTTCTGTTTGGCTAGTGAAATGAGGAAAGTATGTTCCATGTATAGTGTGAGATTATAGACTTGCGTGTACTGCAGGTGGGACAGCTCAGCAAGAATGCAGGTTTATTTATTTTAATAGACTTAGGGGGAAAAGGGTGTTTTTTTTCTTTTTGCTGTGTCTGATGTCTTAGAGGCACTACACAAACACTGCATTACAACAACTCTGAGTTGGTGTTGTAAAAGAGAATGTTGGATGCCAACCCTTCGCTGTGCACATCACAGCTGCCTTTGATGGCATAATGTTTCATGACTGCACTAAAGTATGGGGTGCTTTCAAGGCTTGACTTCAGTGAAGTTGGCCTCTTGAGTAAAAAATAATTGTCTCTGCATATTCTCAGAAACAGGTAGTAGTATTTTGCTTATGTGTTTCTTTGATTGGATTTTTTTTTCTAAATGAGATAAGGTACTACTGCAGTTCTTCTCTGTAGTGCTTTTATTAATAGTAGCATGGCTCATCAGAGAGTTCTTGTGAAGAATTGCAGGAAGAGCCTCTTAAAACTGGTGACTTGTCAGTGTCTAGGGGGTTAACTGGGTGTTTTACTTGATATTGTTATCTACCACGGGGCTCATATTTGTCTGTATCTTTGTTTCTCCTCCCTGTATTCTTTCTGAAGGGTGTGATAAAGCCTGTCTTTTATCTTACCTTGCTGTTACTCAGTCATGCAGCCTGCGTGCTCTGTAAGGTCATTGTTGTGCTCTGTAAGGTCATTGTTAGAAGATCTTGCCACTGAGTAGTAAAATAGGGTTAGCTAAGGACAGTTTAAAGAGAACTGTGGATTGCCATGCTCCTCTAGGCTTAAATCTTCCTTTTTACTTCTAACATTGTCTATGTGGTTTTCTGTTTGCTAAGCAGTAGTTCTGGAAAACTGTTTCATAGGAAAAGATGCTCAGTAACCAGAAAATAAAAATAGACTCAAAACCCCCACAGGCTCTCTGAAAGATCAGTTTCATCTTAAATTGCTTGCACTGATGACAAAGCAGAGTTTAACCAAATATTTATTGTTGAAATTACTCTCTAAATAGTAGTGTTGTACAGCTAAATGTAACACCAGATTTTACTGTAATTTGCTGCTATCACCTTACTGTGGGTAGAGAAGTATAGACTATAACTGTGGTATTCTTTATAGTGGCCTGGATAAGAATTTGACTACAACATTTCAAGAACACAGAATGTTATTAAGAGTATGAAAAGCTTCAGTATGTATTTAAAATGCATGATGTGCTCTCCTACCACACTGGAAAATTAGAACAGCTTTTTCTAATTTGAAATACTCAGTTATCCTGTATATGGGATTTAAAATATATATTCTTAATTCAAGTTTTTTAATTCATACTAGGCAGATCTTTGAATTCTATTGGTTCAGCATGTATCCTCCTACTTTTGAAAATCAAACCAAAATTAAAATCTGGTGATAAAAATGTGCTTGGGTTTCACATTTGTTGAAACACTTTTATTGCTTCCAGTTAATCACAAAAGCAGGGATTCATCAATTAAAGTATGTCAGAATATACAAGGTCTGTCCTGCAAACTTCTTTGAACATTTCAGTTTTGGATCTGAAACTTTCAATTTCTAAACACAGTGTTTTGTACTTTGTAGACATTACTTGTAAACAATCTGTTTGCTGTTTCCTCAGCTGAAAGAAGCTGTTTTATCCCATTTGGCATCTCCTTTTGAAGTTGTACTTAAAAGTTGTGTTTAAATAATACTGTAACTGCTGCTGTTTCATCATCAAGCAATTAAAGAAGTATGCCCTGCATATCATTGATCTCCTCATAGAGGACTGAATCCTTTTTCCCTGTATGGCTTTTTTGGTACTTTTCCTGGTAGGGCATTTCATTATGTGACCATGAGTCTGAAATAAACTCAGTGTCTGGGAGGGAAGGAGGTGGAGGGAGGGTGGACAGAGTGGGGAACCCACAACCAGAACCAGAGAAGGCTGTAGCATTAATTTTTAAGTCCATGTGTCATCTTATGGCTGCCTTTTCCCTTCTGTAGACGACATTTGTGAAAGATTATCATATATTGTCGTTAGAGGCAGCTGCTTGAAACAAGGCTGGCTACATATCAGTGTTACTGCTCCTTCTTTACAAATCCCAATTTCAAGTGATTTTAGTATTAAACCTGTTTTGGACCTCTAATTATCTCATTAGTTAACTTAAGCTGTTGGGTATTTGGCCTCACACACTTTCCTAGTGTGCTTTCTTGACTCTGTGTGTGTGCTTGAGAATATATTACAGAGAGCAATTAATGCTTAATGAAATTTATGCACTCAGTTGTTTTTTTTTTTGTTCCCCACCACTCCCTGCTACCTTTGTATTTGCTCACACCAAGACCATTGTATTTCCAAGCATGTTGAGTTTTTTTTTCATTCTGAAAGGTAAGACATGTTTCTGAAGGCTGAATAGTCTCCAGATTTGGTAAGGTGAAACATATAGCATATTAAAACATTATAGGTTTTTGCCACTTCTGGATTTAGTCCCAGAGACATTTCAGAAAGTAAAGATGCTATTTAAGTGTCATGGCATAACTGCAGAATAATGACTTAGTCTTGAGGCTGAATAGTTGAGTGTTTTTTGGGGAAAAGTTTACACTGTTACCATCACATTATTCTTGTACTGTAGAAGAAATTAAACTCTGTAGAAGTGAAGTTAGGAATACTGCAGCCCTATGTTGTAGGTGAGAAAATTCTTGGAGGAAAGGTGCCTTTTCCATAGAAATGCTCAGTTGCAGGAATTCTAGGTTTGAAAACTTAACCCAGATTCAAAATGAAATTGTGCTACAGAACAGTGTTCTGACCTGGGGAGAGTAGGAGGGTGATGTGGTCAGTCTAGTGAATCTAGTAAAAAAAACCACATATAACATTGCTGTCCCCTTCATATTCCCTCCTACGCCCACTGGTTATAGCAAATTTAGTAAAAGGTAAAAGACTTTACATTCTGCTTTCATCCTTAGACCATTACAAAGTCTGTACTGTCTAAAGACCAGTACCATCCAAAGACCATTGCAAAATCCAAACAGATTATTTGCAGTCTTGACTAGAGACCAGGTATTAAATGTGAGACAGTTACCACTGAAGGAGGAATTTGTACAATTTTAGCCCTGTTATGAAAAGATGACTAGAAGCTGCTTTAGTCGTTGTTTCTTCTGTATTCTGGACTTTGTTCCTTTTGTTTCAAAAAGCATAATGAAGCTCTATAAAAACACCCACACATTAGCACATATTTTGCCTGAGCTGGTTTGTTTGAAAAATCTAAGAAATCTAACTCTGTATCTTAAGAAATTGTAAGACTTGATATACTGGGCTAAGAATTAAGAGTTTTATTTACTGCTTGCAATTGGATTTTTAAAGGCTAATGTGAGAAAGGCAAAATATGTTCCCAGTATATTGGGAGCAAGTTTGTTTCAACCATTTTTTCACCTTGATAAAAGTGTGGCTTCTTTGCATTTTTCAGATCTTCTGCTCAGTTTCCCTGATTTTTGATTTTAAAAAAAAATTCTTTTAGTTGTATTCCAAGGCAACACCCAGTATGAAGCTGGTTGGCTTACCATAAAATTACTCAGTGGTGGTACTTGGTGCCTTGGATAAAGGGCAAAGCATGTGCTGTATGTAGCACATTAACACTTTGAAATGGGACCAGATGAAAACAGTGTTCATTGGGTGAACTGTTTAGTCACTGTCATGAGCCCTGATTTTCTGTCTTAAAACATCTTGTCTCCATAAACTGTTGAATGATGTGGGAAGATTAATTTGCCTGGTGGAGTCACTTGCAAAAAAGGAGAGGCAAAAGGGCTAGTGTGTTGTGGTCCATTTTAAGCCTGTTGAAGTCAAAATCAACCTGCTTCATTCTTTTACTGCTGAATGACCTTTGCTTGCTCCTAAATGATGCTCATTTAGAAAAGAGTCTGTGGATCCTTCCTGTTCAGAAGCTCACAGGGGTCTTGTTTTACTCATATTTAAAGTCAGATTTTCTTTAAGGATTTTGGTTAAATGTTTTAAGACTTGAAGTAGTAATGCTACAGAGATTTTTCTGCAAGTGTTATTTTTAAAATTCTGAGTGGGTTTTCATGTTGTATTATTCCCAAGGTTAACATGGTATGTGACTCTTGCTAGAAGACTCTGTATGTAAGCAGTTAAACTAACAGCTCAAGACTCAACAAGTGATTTTATGTTCTGTGTCTATTTTTAGATCTTTGGTTATATCAAGAAGGTGAAAGCATAAGTGCTTATTTTGGGAAAAATGTGTTTTTTCTCTGCTAGTTCATTTTGGGTGTTTGGTGATTTTTTTTTTCTTTTTTTTGCCTGCCTGTCTAATGCTTTGTTTCAGGTAACTCAGGCAATATGTTTATGTGCCCTGGTAAACTGATCATGAAGGTAGCAACTCAAATTAAAGGAAAACAAAGTTAATATTATCAGAGTTCTCATTTAATGTAACTCTATTAATTGATTAATTAAAATTAATTAAAAGTGGTTTCTGTAGCTTGTCAAATCTTACTTGTTCTTTTATCATACCCCAGTTCTTCAGTAAAAAAATGGAATAAAGATGATCCCTCTGTTTTTGAGAAACAAAGTTGTGTGGGTTTTTTTTATGGGT